AGTATAGGGTTCCCAAGGAGTGGTTGGTAGGTTTGAACTGCTAACTTTTTGGTTAGCAGTCCAGTGCTTATCCAACAGCACCTCATCAGGACTCCTATATACAGTATATATGCTTTTGGCATTGTCGGGTAAGCACTGGATTGTTAACTGCAAAGTTAACCACCAGCCTCTCCTTGGAAATCCTATGCAGAGGTCACTATGGGTCAGAATTGACTCTATGACACTAACAACAACAGCAATCATACACTATATGGAGTCCTGGGATGGCGCTGCAAGACAAGCACTGGACAGCAAGATCGGTTTGGGCTGCAAGGTTGGTGGTTCAAACTCACCAGTTGCTCCTTGTATACCCTATACAGTGCTGATATGAGTTGGAACCAACTTAACAGCACTTAACAACAACAATGTAATACATACAAATGCTGATTTTTGGAATTCTCAAATACCTATTAAGTCAGGGTGGGGCAGCAATGGAGGGAGAGAGGACTCCCCCTCCCCCCCCCCCTTTTTTTTTTAACAGGAAAGCAACCTTTCCCTGGTAAGCAAATTAGAAGAAATCAATGCTATCTATGGTTACCTATGGTTAGAGGGCAAAGAAAGGAGGAAAAGACACAGAACTGGATCTCTCTTCTCAATCCATTAAACACAATGAAACACAGTTTGCAATTCCTGGTACGCACTGGGCCTCCCAGTCTTGTGCAGTGCTTTGTTGCCGTGGTCTTGTTTTGAATGGAATCACCAGAAAGGGCAGAGTGTACCTCTCTGGATTGCTCAAGCGCTGTACAGGCCTTCCTTCAGAGCCTCTTTTGAACTTTCAGAACTTGGCTCCAGTAACCCCAAACAAAACACGACTTACTGTTTATAGTAGTTTACAGACAAGGCAATCTGGTTTCATTTGGTGTTTCTTTATGAGGAGAAACAGGTTTATGTTACCTGTATTTCTACTTTCTCTGATTTTTACTTGCATGTGTGCGCTTCCTCATTGCCTGGCTTGGAGAAAGTTTCTGAGATTAAGAACTATGGACTCTAACTTTTTTCCTGCCTCTTTTCTAAGAGAGAAGCGAGCTTTTCTCACAGATGTCGGGGGCAGAGAGTTCCGACATGAGTTCATGTAATTCTAACAGTTCTCTCAGTAGCTACTGCTTCCTCTCTGATTAGTGTTTGGAGAGACCATCATAAAAGACTCACTTACCCACTTTGCATATTCCCAACGACAGTCACATTAAACCTGTGTTCGAAGTCAAAACCATAGGATACACCTGTTGCAATTACAGTCTGCAAAGTTGCAAAATTGCCCAAGTTAGAAATCTGAGATGAAATGAAGAGTCTTACTTTGAAAAAACACCATTACCAAACCCCACCCTTGTTGTGAACTGACTCACAGTGATCCTGTATGGGGTTTCCAAGGAGCTGCTGATGAGCTTGAACCACCAACCTTGCGGTTTAAACCAACCTTGTAGGCTAACACATTAACCCACAGCGCCACACAATGACTCCAAACCCTGCTCCTAGAAATCCTTTTTAAAAGGTCCCGAAGCAATTCTGGAGTTCCTGGATGGTGCAAATGGTTAACATACCCAACTGTTAACTGTAAGGTTGCAGATTCAAGTGTGACACAAGGCACCTCAGAAGAAAGACCTGGCAACCGAGTTCCAAAAACTCAACCATTGAAAACCCTATAGAGATGTCTCCATGTGTCAAAGTTGACTCAAGGCAACTGTTTTTATTTTGCTTTGTTTTTGAGGCAATTCTAATGTACCTCTCTCTGCTAGGGTGAGAGCCATAGCTCTGATTCAAATGAGTCTATTACCATGTCTTCTCAGAAGCCTTGCTCTCTGCACCATGTGTGTCTTCCAGGGAAAGAATAAGCTGGACAGTTTAAAATGAAGCTATTAAATTTGGGATGCCTAAGCATTATGCCTCAGTCCTGGTGTGACGCTGTGGGCTAATGCATCAGACTGCAAAGTCATTTGAACTGCAAGGTTGGTGATTCAAACTCATCAGCTGTTCCTTGGAACCCCTATACAGGGTTGCTATTGGTCAGAATCAACTGGATGACCCTTAACAACAATAAGAAGTATTATGCCCCGCTCCCACATTTGCTCCTAATGGTCACTGTGAGTTGGAACCGACTTGGTAGCACTTAACAACAACAACGATCGTGTCCTGGGTGGCGCTGTAGGATCAGCACTGGATTGGGAACCACAAGGTCGGCAGTTCAAATCCACCAGCTGCCCTACACAAGGTTCGCTATTCATTGGAACTGACTCCACGGCACTTAACAAAAAACACATTATGCCTAGACTTTTTGGAGACGGCATCTCTGCCCCATAAAAACCTGATCTATACATGGTGAAGGACTTTTCATGTAATCACACTAGACTAATGAACTGTGAAAGAAAAGTCTATAAGCTGTTCAGTTACCATGATAAGTTCAATTGGAATTGGCACTGGAAGCTTGGCTTTGTAGCGCTGATTTATTTCTTTAACCACAAATACAACCAACAGAATAATCAGGGATGTCACCAGGTCTGCAATATTAGTATTCTCTATTTGTGAGAATATGGAGTGTAGAACCTAAAATTATAAAAACAAAAAACACTCAGTTCCTGTATTAATGTATAATTTGGATTCAACACTTAATTATTTCCCAACAGATACAAATGAACGTTTAAGAAAAAGTAGTGGCATAGATTGATACCAGTTCTCTGTTGTGCTCCTGTTAACCATGAACTTGAGATTGTGGAGACCAATATAGAGGCACAAGGAGAGGAAAGAGGCACAGAGACGGCAATGATGGTGAATGGCAGAATTCTCTCCACCCGTGAGAGAGACCTGAACCTCGTCCGCAGCTACCACTCTTTAACAGTGAAGGACCATGTGTTGCTAGGATGCAGGACAGCTTTCAGTGAAGCTTCCAGACTAAGAAGGAATAGGAAGAAAGGTGTGGTGTGGTCTACTTCAGATTATCAGCCAAGAAAAATCCTATAGATCTCAACATGGGCTAGTCATGAAGTAGGGGATGGCTTGATGGCAAGTAACAACAACAAAGTAAGCATAGTGTGGGCTCCACACTGGTGTAAGGATGCTTCTGATATTCTTGCTGGGAAATGCAGTCTAATACCAAATGTAATTGGATAATTTCCCCCATTTTTACAACTAAAAGGCTGCAGGTTCAAGTCCACCACAGGTCTTTTCTGCTCTTAGGTCTCTTTGGTCATTATTATGGATTGATTTGTGTCCCCAAAAATATATGTTGCAAATTCCTCTGTTAAAAATCCCAATTGCTATGTTAATGTGGCCAGATTAGTGTAAAGTATGTTATAAATCAATCCCTCTCTTACTTTGTAATCTAAATTTTAATTATTTTGTTGTTGTTGTTGAGGATACACACAGCAGAAACATACACCAATTCAAGTTTCTACACATTCATTTTGGTGACATTGATTACATTCTTTGAATTGTGCAACCTTTCTCACCCTCCTGCTGAGTTGTTCTGCCTCCATTAGCATGAACTTAGTGCCTCCTAAGGTTCCTATCTAATCTTTCTGGTTGCATTAGTCAATTTGATCTCAAATAGATAATTCTTAAAAGAGAAATTTTTTGTTTAAGGTTTTTGTTAAGGAAATTTTTTTTTGTTTAAGGTCTTAAGATTATCTCAAGATGATACATTCAGAAGTTCATAGCTCCTCAAAGTCTAGAGTCTACAGAAATTTGAAGTTAATTTTCCCCATTTTGATCACGATTCTTCTATGGAATCTTTGATCAAAATGTTCAGGAATGGTAGCTGGGCACCTTCCAGTTCTTCTGGTCTTATGGCAAAAGAGGCAGTTAGCATGCTGTCCTTCTCTAGGGACTGGTTTCTCTTGATAACTTGTCCAAAGTATGCAAAACAAAGGTTCACCATATTCTCTTCCAAGGAGCATTCTGGTTGTACTTCTTCCAAGACAGATTTGTTGGTTCTTCTGACAATCCATGGAACTTTCAATATTCATCATCAATACACAGTTCAAATGCATCAATTCTTCCCCAGACTTCCTTAGTCATTTTCCAGACTTCACATGCATATGAGGTGACTGACAATACTGTGGCTTGGGTCAGATGCACCTTACTTCTCAAAGTGACATTTTTGCTTTTTAACACTTTCATGAGGCCTTTCGCAACACATTGTCCAATGCAATACATCGTTTGGTTTATTGACTGCCTCTTCCTTGAGTGTTGTTTGTGGATCCAAGTAAACTGAAATCCTTGACAACTTCAATCCAGCTGTGGATCACTAAACTAATAAACTTTGGTTTCTAATATTTGCCTTTTCTTGTCTTTTTATATAAGTGAGGTCATACAATATTTGCCCTTTTGTAATTGACTTATTTCACTCAGAATCATGTCTTCCAGCTCCATTCATACTGTAGTATGTGGCAAGACTTCATTTCTGCTGCTGGCTGTAGATACTGTGGTACATAGATACCACATTTCATTTGTCAGTTCATCAGTTGGTGAGCATTTAGGTTGCTTCCACTTTTTGGCTATTGTTGATGCTGCAATTGTACAAGTCTCTCTTTGGTCTCTCTTTAAAGTCTTTTGGGTATGTACCTAGAAGTGGAATTGCTGGGGTTTTTTTTCATTTTTTGAGGACCTGCCACACAATTTTCCACAATGTCTGTATCATTTTGCATCCTCACAAGCATTAGATAAGGATTCTAATTTCTCCACATCCTTGCCAATATTTGTTATTTTCTGTTTTGTCTTCTAAATCTTAGCCAGTATTTAAGCCCTGTCCTGGTGTGGCACTGTAGGTTAATATGCTGGACTGCAAAGTCACTTTGAAACTCAAGGCTGGCGGTTCAAGCTCACCAGCTACTCCTCAGAAACCCTATACAGCATCGCTTATGGGTCAGAATCGACTCAATAGCACTTAACTACATTATCAACCATAGAGGGCTACATGTTGGGCTGCTAACTACAAGGTCAGCACTCTGTGGGAGAGAGATGAGGTTGTCTGCTCCCATAAAGAAACTCTAGGGTTCTACTCAGTCCTACAAGATTGCTGTGAACTGGAATCAAGTCAATAACAGTGAGTTTGTTTTGGTCTAGCCATCCTCATAGGAGTGAAAAGATGCCTGGTGTGGTACTATAGGATCAGCACTGGACTGTGAACCACAGGTCTGCAGTTCAAACCCACCAGCTGCTCCTCAGAAGCCCTATACAGTGTCACTATGGATCAGAACCGACTCAATGGCACTTAACAACAACAACAACGACAGCAGTAGTGAGAGTGAAATGGTATCTCATTGTAGTTTTGATTTACATCTCTCCAATAGCAAATGGCATTAAACATCTTTTCATATGTTTGGTGGCTCTTTGAATGCTGTCTTTGGTGAAATATCTATGCAAGTACTTTACCTATTTTATGATTGGGATACTTGTCTTATTTTGTTAAGTTATTTTATATAAATTCTAGTTGCATCAATCTCTTTTAAGATAGAAAAGAGACTAAACAAGCAAGTGAATAAGATGAGGGAAGAGAGATGGCAAACCACACAAGTCAAGGAGCAGAGACTCAGAAGAGACAGGACCTCCCCCTACAGCTGGCACAGAGACAAAGCCTTTCCCCAGAGCCTACATTAAGACTCCCAGCCTCCTAAAGTGTGTGAAAATAAATTTCTGTCTTTGAAAACACTAGATAACCAAGTCATTTCTTTATTTCACAATAAGCCCAGTTTCTTTATTCAGGGAATAAGCTCTGATCCCTAGTAGCTTTTTCTTAGTATGTTGTTATTGTTTAGTGCTGTTGAGTCAGTTCTGACCCATAGCAACCCTGTAAGGGTTTCCAAGGAGCAGCTGGTGAGCTTGAACCACCGACCTTGCAGTTCAAATGGCTTTGCAGTCTGACACATTAACCCACAGCGCCACACCAGGACTCCCCTTAATTCCTGTCCTCTTTGAGGTCCCGACACTTAACATATTTTAGCTGACATTCTTTGCCACCTTTGGAAATAATTTTCGACAGTGCCCTGTTTCTGATTTCCAGAAACCAGTGGACTTCCATATCCATGGGCCCCAGGACACTTCAGACAGGTCCAAACTGGCTCCTCCACTGCTCCTAGGATACATTGCTGCTGGCTCAGACTCAGGTTAAGAACACTCTCTTCTACAGGGCATCTTCTGGAAGAGGAAAGAATCACTGTACATTTAGGGATTGGCTCGTTTTCTTTTGTTTTATAAACAGGGCTTTGTACAAGTTTCAGAGGAATCTCAATTCTGAAATAACAAGACTAATTTTTTGAGACTTGGGGAAACGTTGTAACTCAATAGCAAAATATTTTCAAGTTTTCCAGTGGGAAAATGTTAAGAACACACACACACACTCAACAAAAACTTGTAATAGCATATTAAAGCTTTTAACAACGTAATTGGCGATTTCAAAACTATTTAAGAGGTAAAACCTAAGAAGTGGCACTTCATGGCAGTTGCTAATATTTTTGCTGTTGTCCTGTTGATTTTGGCTGTTGTGCTGTTTGCCACTTAGCTTTTTTGTGATGAGCTTTTTTTTACATTTCTCAACCCAATGATTTCTTACAAGTGGTAGATAAGCTTCACCATGGCAAAGGCATTTAAGAAAAGGTCTCTGGAAACAAAATAATGAGTTTCATGTATTTCGATGTTATTTAAATGAAAGAAATACTTACTTTGAAAATGGAAAATGGATCGGTGTGTGCTGGAACACTGAGCTGAAACATAAATTTTAGTTGGGAGACTAAAACATGAACAGCGGCGGCTGTGGTAAAGCCACTGATGAGGGAATCCGAGAGGTAGATCACCACAAATCCAATCTGCAGAATTCCCATGGCCAACTGGAAAGAGGACAAAGGCCTTTGTTATGAGAACACTTCAACAATTTAAGTTATTTCAAATGTAAAGGTTCAGCCTGCACCTATGTGCCTTGAAGAAGCAGGTGATCTGCGTCTTGGAACCCTCTCCAGGTCTCTCCTCCCCCTTATCGAATGTCATATGATGCTTAGTAGGATTTAAGTCTAGTGTGCCTGTAAGAAGTAACAGATTTCTGTTCTTTTTAAGTGCTGTATCTTTAGATGACTCATTCACAAACCTTCTACAGCAGAATCTTATCTAGCCCTCATAAATTTGCCCACTTAGAATCCTAAGTCACACTTTCTAGTTGCTATTGCACGTGGGTGCAAGTGTCCATTCATATTCCTTCAAATGAGTTGCTCAACTTGCATATGAGCTATCTGATTGTGTCCTCTGGACTTCATAAGTGTACTCCTGGTGTTAGGAGTGCTTGGTTTTAGGTGGGGACAAGGTGATAAATTCCCCCACAGCATCAGTGTTTTGCAGGAGAGAGAACTGGAAGGCTGTTCCTTCCCTTGGTTCCCCGGCCTGTCTTCCACTCACATCTCATGAAACGCAGCTGATGCTATGGGCACACAGAAGCATTAGGTTCAGAAATGTATTCGGAAGAACTGACCACATTGTCAATAGGAAACACCACTGTGTCCTTGTAGAAACTGATAGTAGTTTTGCACAATAATATCACTAACCATAAACTTAGGCCACATCCTTACGTGACCATGAGATTTTCATTATTCCATTACCATGTCAGGTGTGGTTTAGGAGTGTATGTTCCTCCGCAATCCTTGTCAGCTTCTCCTAAATATTTGATATTCATAGTTCAAAGTGCAAAATACCCATCACTTTCACTTAGGTTACTGTCTCTAAAGAGTTAGGAAAATAATGTCAAAGCTACCACTAAAAAAATTAAATCCAGGGTAGGGCTACAAAAGCAAGAAGTGACTGGCTTACAAGCTTTCAAGAGGGAACCTAGAGACAGGGGGCCTGGAGGAAGGCAGAATCTCCAGTGAGTAGCATCCGATCTGCCTAGGTGGAGTTGATGAAATGAAATGCAGATGGTTCTCTTGTGATGCAATAGTGAATAATTGTTATCAGGACTGATTGTGAAGGTTGGAAATGTAAAGGTAGACATTTTATA